AATAAAAACATTTCTCACCCTTACCTCGATTAATCGGAGCATTGATGTTGGTTCATGATGATCTTCCACTTTCCTCTTCTTCTCCTCTCTTTCTCTTCTTCTTTCTTTCCAAATGTTTCTCTCTAACTTTCTTTTCTTTTCCTTCTCTATTCTATATTTCCTCTATTTTCCTTCCTTCCAATTTCCTTCTCAATTCTCTATTAATTCCAATTAATAAAAATTAATTTCCAACATTAATAAAAAATCCCACTAAATCAATTAATTACTATAATTAATTATTTAATGAAATTCGGGCTGTTACATATACTCCTTATGTGAAATTAAATGCAAATTGGATTTAATTTAGTTTATCTCCCATTTAAACAACAACCGATCAAAATTGTTTTGGTATCTTTTTTATAGAAACATACTTCAAAAAAGACACAAAAATTTAAATTTTCTTAATAAGAGTGATTTTTTTTTACTTATAAATTATTAAGGGGTAGTTCTAATGGCAGAATGTAATAAAGAGAGGATCATCGTCAAGTTGAATTCCATCACATTAATCTTAATCACATTAGACATTATGTCCTTGTAGAATAATAGACTTTTGGGGTGTCATAAAATATTGGTATAATGTGGGCCAACGAAAATTGGTCTTTGGGTACCGGTGATATTTAGGTTTAGGGTACCAATATAAATTAGGCTTCAGGTGAAATTATCTTGCTTATATTATAGGATTGGGTGGTCTCTAAACATGTGTATAGTGAAAAATGCATGAATGTTGTCAAGATATATTACAAAGAATAAGTAAAGATGTATGACTTGATATTAGAAAAATACAAATTTAATTGATACAAAAGAAATGTTAGCATGATTGATGCATGATTATTGATTTGGTTGAGACTTGAGTGGTTCAAAAGTGGAGTGGTGAACCTAAATTTGATGGTGAACTCTAGTATATGTTGTTCCTTTTTTATTGGTTGCATGATGCAAAACAGCATGGGTTGTTCAAGTTGTTTCTGTGAAGAAGGATGCATGTGGGAACAAATGTCCCAACATGTGTGCAACATTTTCCCTTTGTCAACGGGCTAATGTTGTAAGTGGTATGTGCATTATTTTATGATTGTTTCAATCAGATTTGTTACAACTTATTTAGCAATGTTTGTATGATTTGTTTGAAAGTTGTTTGAAGATCAAATCAAATTAAATTGATATTTAAATTTGAATTTAAATTAAAACCAAATCATATATTTTATTGGAGACTTTTATAGATCAAATCAAATCCAACTTTATCAACTATAATTCTGGCCGAAATCAAATCAAATATCCAAAGGAGAAAAATCTCATAATTGAGTTGCTATTTAAATAGACTTGCACCTCATCATTGGGGGGGTGCGCTAGGATTGTAGATTTCATGTGTCAGGGTTTATTTGAGTATCTTCATTTCTGTTTATTGTACATCACATTATTTCTTCATTCATATCATAAGGTATAATAGTTGGTTTATTTAGTTAAGTTGTAATTCAATATTCATCATTATGTTTATTAATGTTAATCACTTGGTATTAGTGGTTGAGATAGAGTAAGAGGGGGTTCTCATATTTGTGGGAGTTCTAAATAGAATGACACTAGGGTAGAATTAAGAAGATGGACATTGAACAAGGGGCTTGTTCGTCTAAGACACTATGTACTAATTCTATAGAATAGTGAATTTCCTTTCTTGGATTGGATGGCCCCTAGATATAGGTATGGTTTACACTAAACTGGATTACCATTTTAGTTGTGTTCTTTATTGTCTTTACCTTGAATTATTATTGATGTCATATTGTGTTAATTATGATGTAACAAGTTGGACAAATTATCCCAAACATATGGTATAATATTTGTCCCCTGAGGAACATAATTTCAATTGGCATCAAAGCATACACTTTGTTCTGTTTAGGTGAGCTCCATGGAAGATATATTATGTTCATGTGGAATACACAAAGGATGGAGGGTCTATCGATATACCACATGTTTTGGATGACACCAATTATGATTACTGAAAAGCTTAGATGGTTGTCTTTCTTAAATCCATAGACAATAAAAACTTGGAAGGTTATTATAAAAGGTTGGAAATATCCTATTTCTTAATATCCAATCCTAGTGGAAATGAATCTTTTATATTTCGACATTATCAGTACACTTGTCGAGAGATCATCATTGAATCACGAAAAGTAGCCTAAACCAGTGAAGACTTTGGGTTAATAAGGCGAAAAAGGATGAATCCTTATGCGTTGAAAGGTTTAACTAGCAAGCCATATTGGTGAAAGGTGTCGATGACAAGATAAAGAAATATTTGTTAAGTCTTGGACTCGAAGCTGGATTTCAGTTTACAGAGGAGGCAATCCACCCTCTATAAATATCAGGATTACTCACCTTGAACACACCCAATGAATGCATTATACAAGAATACATCAATGTATAATTATGCAAATAGGGAGTAGAAATTCCCAAGTAGATCCGATAATGTCTCGTCAAATACAAATCAACATACTGTCATTTTTACAAAAGCGATACCCATAACCCAAAGGATTTTCTAATTAGGAGAATATAAAACCAATGGATGGGAGGTCCAGAAGCCCACTAAAGAAAAGAGATGAAACATTTAAATTTACTGAATGTTCTTCAAAAGATGTAACTTGTTGGAAGAAATGTTGAAAATTAATTCACAAACTTAGTTTGAATGAATAAAAGTGGAAATTGGGAGTTTTTGGCTAAATATATATAGTTCTCACACAAATAGTATTTTTTGAGTTTTTTTTTTGTTTCAAAATTCACTCAATGGAGAGAAAAAGTGATCGTATGTTATTATAAATGGTGACTTCAGATGATATTATTCAGATGGTGTGTCCAGAGAAGATTATCAAGATACACTCATTTGCACTTTGGATGTGTTTTGGTGGAGTTTTATTATGTTATATTAATGGTGCTTCCCGATCGTGTTATTGGGACGAAATGACTAGAACAATTTTAAATTTTTATAAAATTTAGGAGAAAGATATAGGACACAATGATCAACTCCTTAATAATTTTTATTTCCAAACAAAGAAAACTAAATTTTAAAATCATGACATTAACGTTATTAACAATATTTTGTCATTTAAAAAAACAATAATGTTATTGTGTCAAACTCATGTAATTTAGAAATGGGTTGTTGAAGGTGATAGAAATATGTGTTATTACCACATCAAAGATGTCCAACGAAGGTGGGGGAATAAAATCATGACGATTAAAAATGATAGAGGTGATTGGATTGAAGATCCGGGTTAGGTCCAAAGCTTGTTTCATTCCTTCTATAATGATTTGTATACTTCTAATATTAAATAAGTTACTAGAAACCCATTCTTTTCTTTTTTTCCTAAGATAAGTTCTCATGATTATAATAAGCTTCAAGATGATCTTAGTGTCACTAAAATAAATCAAGCATTTTCCAAATGACTCCTTGGAAAACCCTGGGGCCAGATGGGTTCTTTGCTATGTTCATTCATAAATCATGGTCTACCATCAACAAAAGCCTTTGTAGTGATATCATTGGAATTTGGGATGATCCAACTATGATTAGAGAGGTGAATCAAACAGAGATATGCCTCATTCTGAAAGTCAATAAACCAACTGGTGTGCATCAGTTCTGATCAATATCCCTATGCAACCAAGGTAGTCAAGCACGAGATCTTAAGTAGGATCGGACGATCTGTGAAAGATCGTAAAGCTAGGATCGTAACACGACACTTAAGATCTTATTGAAGGGAGAAATGATAATTTGACATACATATACACACACAAAAACATGAAAATTATAATACATGAACAAAATAACCTATAAATCACTAAATTCAACCAATTAAATTAATAACTCATAACTATCATTCCATAATTTAACAAGTTCAAAATACTTTGTTCAAAAAAGTAGTTCAAAAACATAAATCTAAAAACAAGTCTAATCATCTAAGATATTATGGATTCCCATATCATGATAGTCATATAAAAGGCAATTTCAGCATGTAAGATCTTAATACCCAACACTCGATCTTGACCATAAAATGCATGAAAAAAGTTTTTTAAAGATCGTAGCACTTAAGGGCAACTTCAACACGTAAGATCTTAAGACCCTGCAACATAATTTATAAGGTTCTTAATAATATTATTGTGAATAGATTGAAGGTATTGATTGATGATATTGTTGCCCCCTATCAAATGGGATTTATCTCAAGTAGAAATATTCAAGAGAACATTGTTGTTGCCCAGGAGATGTTGCACGTTATGAATATATTTAAAGGAAAATATGGCTTCTTTGTGGTGAAATTTGATCTTGCAAAGGCTTATGAACAGCTTAGTCGGGGTTTTGTGCATAAGGTGCTAGAGGAGATTGGATTCCCTAACAAGTTAATCAGGTCACCATGGCGTCAATCTGTTCTATTAGCATGAGTATTAGATGGAATGGCCAAGACTCCAATTACTTCCAACCCAAAAAAAGTTTATGACATGGCGATCCTATGTCCCCTTACCTATTCGTTTTATGCATGGATAAACTCTCGCATATGATTTGTGAAGGTGTGGATAGACTCAATTAGGTGGGCACGAAAGTTGGTAGAAGAAGAGCAATTATATCCCACTTAATGTTTGCAGATGATTTGCTTCTCATAGGAAAACCAACAAGAAAATAGATGGAGTATGTGAATAATGTTCTCGCCATTTTCTGCTAAAGTTCAAGTCAGCGAATTGATACTGACAAAACTATAATTCTTTTCTAAAAGAACACTCTTACATCAATCAAAAAATAGTTGCTGGATTTGTCCAATTTCAAAGAAACCAATTATCTGGGGAAGTACTTGGGTGTACCTCCTATGGGTAAAACACCTAAGAACAAAGACTTTAGATACTTTATGGAAAATTTTAAATCCAAGCTTACAAATTGGAAGGAAAAAAATATGTCCTTTGTTGGAATAATAGTTCTCGCCAAGTCTGTAATTGAAGGCATGCCCGCATATATTATGATGTCTTGTGCTCTTCCTAAGAAAAGTCTTAAGGAGATTCAGAAGATGCAAATAAGTTTTGTTTGGGGTGATATTGATGAAGATAAACATGTGCATACTTTCAAGTGGAGTACTCTTACTATACCTAAGATGGCAGGGGGACTGGGTTTGAAGATCTTGGTGATAAATAGTGAAACGTGTCTACTGAAACTCGGTTGGAAATTTATGAATGGTGAGAATGGTTTATGGTGTGATGTTCTAAGAGGAAAATATGGAAGAGGAAATGAGCATGCAAAATATGTAACAACCAAGAATAATGAATCTAGTTTATGGAGGAACTTGGGGAAAACTGAAACTTTCTACAACAAAATTCTTAACGGGGTATTGGTAATGGGAATACAAGGAATGTTTGGAATGATGTGTGGCTCCCTTCAGAAGCACTTACTGATGCCATTACAAATAACTATATCAATCTTCCTTCTCTCAAAGTTGTGGATCTTGTAACAAGTAATTAGGAATGGAACATTAATATGCTCACTGGTTTACTACCTCATAATATTCGTGAGGAAGTTTTGGTCATCCACCCGCCTAAAACTAGCAACGATGAAGATGCTCGCTTGTGGAGAGATTCAAAAAAATAGTGTTTTCTCTATTACATGTGCGTATAATATGATGAGCCCTATTAATATTTGTAATATTTTACGTCGAACTCTAACTCTGTCGAGGAATAGCTTTCATGTGTTTTGATAGGAGACAAGCATGAAATCGAAGCTGGGTTACATGCTAATGTCGAAGGGTTGCATATTATAGTCGAAGCTAGTTCTAGTATGTAATTTCGAAATATATTATTGACTTACTATGTCGAATTGTGTCTTGTGTTAAGGATCTAATTTTTTAGTTATCTTGTATTGTAAGTTAGGTAGTTAGTCTATAAATAGGCTAGATCACTCAGGTTGTTGAGTGAGGCCAATTATTATTCATTTGTAAACTCTTATGAGAAAGTGGATAGTAAACAATTTTCTATAATCCTTCTTCTTGTTTCTTCTTTATCCTTTCTTCTTCCTCTCTTTGTTTTAACTGTTTTCATTGTTCACCCAAGAACTCTGTTTCTCAATCTTTATTAGTTGAAAGGTATTGTTTGTGATCACAACAAACTAGTGCGGTGAGCGTGGAAAAAATGTCGTCAACAAAGTTTAAAATTGAGAAGTTTATCGAAGTTAATGACTTCGGTTTATGGCGTTTGAAGATGTGACCCCTTCTTGTTCAACAGGGTTTTCTAGAAGCGTTAAAGGGAGGAGATGCCATGGATGTTGCATTGACAGAGAAGGAAAAGAGAACGATGATCAAGACAGCCCACAGTGCAATTGTTATGAGTATTGGTGATAAGGTTATCAGGAAGGTTTCGAAGGAGACGACGGCAGCTGGTGTTTGGTTGAAACTCAAAGGGTTGTAAATGAAAAAATCCTTGGTGAATTGTTTTGTACTTGAAGCAAGCTTTGTATTCATTTAAGATGAATGAAGATAAAGCGTTGATGAGGCAACTGGATGTGTTCAACAAGCTGAATCTTGATCTTTAAAATATTTGATGTTACCATCAATGACGAAGATCAAGCATTGTTTTTGTTGTGTTCTTTACCTAAGTCACATGCTCACTTCAAAGAAACCCTCTTGTATGGAAGAGAATCCCTGACCTTTGAATAAGTTCAAGCAGCCTTGTATTTGAAGGATTTGAACGAAAGAAAGAAGCAGAAACCATCATCATCAGTTGGCGAAGGGTTATCTGTAATGGGGAGATCGTCAAAGAGAGAAGGTAGGTTTGAGAAGAAGAAAGGTAAAACTCAGCAGAAGTCATATGGTGGTGATATTTATGGGATTAAGTGTTAACACTGTAAGAAGGAGGGCCATACAATAAAGATGTACCATGAGCGCTTGAATAATCATAGAGGTAAGAACAATGGCAATGCAGTTATTGTGTAAGATGATTATGAATCATTTGATGTCCTTGTGGTGTCGAGCAACAACTCTTGTAAATAGTGGATTAAGGATTCTGGATGTACTTGACATATGACTCCAAATAAGAATGTGTTTGAAGAATTATGTGATCAAGAAGGAGGATCAATATTGTTGAGAAACAATAAAGCTTGCAAGCTTGCAGGTATTGGATCTGTGAGATTCAAGCTCCATGATGAGTCAATAAGGCTATTGACTGGGGTTAGGTATATACCTGACCTTAAGAGGAATTTAATTTCTCTTGGTGAATTCGACAAGAAAGGATATGTCTTTAAAGGAGAGCAAGGCATTTTGAAAGTCATGAAAGGGTCGAAGGAAATCTTGAGAGGCGTGAAGAAACAAGGCTTGTATACCCTTGAGGCTGAGGTTGTAAGTGGTTCAGCAGATTTTGCATCTATGAAACTGGTATCAAAGACAAAATTATGGCACATGAGATTGGGCCATGTCAGCGAAAGAGGCCTGGTTGAATTGGGGAAGTAGAAACTGCTAGATGGTGACAAAGTCGAGAAGTTGGAGATTTGTGAACCTTATGTATTTGGCAAATCCTGTAGGGCGGAGTTTAACAAAGGTAAACACATAACACATGGATCCCTTGATTACATCCATGTTGATCTTTGGGGACCTGCAAGGAATCCTTCACATTCAGGTTCACGGTATTTTCTATCCATAGTTGATGACTATTCTAGAAAAATATGGGTATTCATTCTGAAGACTAAGAATGAAACTTTTGAGAATTTCAAAAGTTGGAAGGTTCTGGTCGAAACTCAAATTGGCATAAATGTTAAGAGGTTGAGAATCGACAATGACCTTGAGTTCTGTAATGAAGCTTTCAGTAGTTACTGTGTCGAGTCAAGGATTGAAAGACATAAGAATGTAGCAGGTACTCCTCAACAAAATGGCTTAGATGAGAGATTCAATTGAACAATCCTTGAAAGGGTTAGATGCTTGTTGGTTAGTGCTGGATTGAAGAAGGTGTTTTGGGCGAAGGCTGTTTTGACAACAACTTATCTGATAAATAGATGTCCCTTGACTGCTTTAGGAATGAAGACACCTGAAGAAGTTTGGTTGGGTCAACCACTAGATCTCGACAAATTGAGAGTATTTGGTTGTTTAGTCTATGTTCATATTAGGCAAGACAAGGTCGAAATTATAGCTCTGAGATACACGTTCCTTGGATATCCAGAGGGAGTCAAAGGTTACAGGTTGTGGTGCCTAGAACCAGGTCACAGAAGATGTATCCCAAGTCGTGATGTAGCTTTCAATGAAGTTGAGATGGCGTTCAAGAAATCTGGTGATGCTGGTCGAAGTGCAGAAATCTCTGAAGAGGAGCTGGAATAAGTAGACATTCTTGTTGAGATAGAGCATAGTGATGCTGAAGTGTATAACCCATATGAAGTCGAAGAAGAAGAGAAAGATGCTGAAGACACTGAGGAAACTGTCGATGACTACCTACTGGCAAGAGATAGGTCGAGAAGAGTCATCAAGCCACCTCAAAGACTTGGTTATGAAGATCTTATAAATTTTGTATTAATCTCTGCAAGTGAGGCACTTGAGGAAGAACCTAGAGATTATAAGGAAGCTATCAGGAGTCGAAATAAGACTGAATGGCGAAAAGCCATGGATGACGAGATGAAATCTCTTCATGATAATAACACTTGGGAACTAATTGATAAACCTGCAGAAGCAAGGTTAGTCAGTTGTAAGTGGATTTTCAAGGTCAAGGAAGGAATCAAAGGAGTGATGTCAAAGCACTTTAAGGCAAGATTGGTTGCTAGGGGGTTCGCTCAGAAAAAGGTGTTGACTTTAATGATGTGTTCTCGCCTGTTGTAAAATACAGATCCATTCGAATGTTGTTAGCCGTGGTGGAAAAGTTTGACCTAAAACTCGAACAAATGGATGTGAAGATAACATTTTTGTATGGTGACCTAGATGAAACGATCCTGATGTGTAAACCTGAAGGGTATGTAGAAAAGGATAAGGAAAATTATGTGTGCAAGTTAAATAGGTCTTTGTATGGCCAGAAGCAATCTCCTCGACAGTGGAATAGGAGATTCGACAAGTTCATGGCACACATTGGTTTCACTAGGAGCCAGTTTAACCACTGTGTTTACTTTAGATTTTGACCTAGAAATTCACTTGTTATTTTGTTGCTTTGTGTGGATGATTTCCTCATAGGTAGCAACAATGTCGAGGATGTAATAAAGGTGAAGGCTAAACTCAGCAAAAAAGTTTGAAATGAAGGATCTGGGAGCTGCCACCAGGATTATTGGGATTGACATTCGAAGAGATAGAAAGCAGTCGAAGTTGTGCTTATCTTAAGAGACATACCTACGGAAGCTTCTCGATAAGTTTGATATGTCGAATTCAAAGCCTATTGTGACTCCAACAAATCCTTAGTTTAAGCTTAATACTACTAAAAGTCCGAATATTGAAGTTGAAATAATCTATATGAGTTTTATTTCATATGCTAATGTATTAGGTTATTTGATGTATGTTATGGTTTGTACAAGGCCAGGCATAACGTATGATGCGAGCCTTGTAAGCAGGTATATGGTCAATTCTAGAAAGGCACACTGACAAGATGTAAAGTGGATTCTCAGGTACATAAATTGGACTCTGAAAAGAGTCTTGATTTATGGTAGAACTTGTGGTGATGAGAGCAAATTTAAAATCGAAGGGTTTGTCGACTCTGATTGTGCAGGTTGTATGGATTCCAGAAAGTCTATTTCTGGATATGTGTTCACTATGTTCGGCATAACAATCAGTTGGAAAGCAACGCTTCATAAGGTTGTTGCCTTATCAACCACTGAAGCAGAATATATAGCCCACACTGAAGTTAGGAAAGAAGCATTATGGTTTGAAGGTTTTGCAAAGGAGCTGAAACTTCAAGAGCGAAGTATCACTGTTAAATGTGATAGTCATAGTGCAATATACCTATCGGAGAACTCAGCCTATCATGAGCGAACCAAGCACATCGATGTAAGGCTGCACTTCATCAGATAGATAATCGAGCATGGTGAAGTTCAGGTGCTGAAGATTTCGACTGATGACAATGCTGCTGATATGATCACCAAGACGTTGCCAAGTTGCAAGTTTTTTCACTGTATGCAGATGATAAAGCTGCATGGTAGAAGCTAGTTTATTCCCTGTTATTTGTAGAGTTAGATCCAAGGTGGATATTTGTGAGATTTTGGGTCGAACTCTAACTCTGTCGAGGAATAACTTTCATGTATTTTGACAGGAGACAAGCATGAAGCCGAAGTTGGGTCACATGCTGATGTCGAAGGGTTGCATATTGTAGTCGAAGTTAGTTATAGTATGTAATGTCGAAATATATTGTTGACTTATTATGTGGAATTGGGTCTTGTGTTAAGGATCCAATTGTTTAGTTAGCTTGTATTGTAAGTTAGCTAGTTAGTCTATAAAAGGCTAGATCACTCAGGTTGTTGAGTGAAGCCAATTGTTATTCATTTGTAATCATTTGTAAATCCTTATGAGAAAGTGAATAGTAAACAGTTTGCCCTAATCCTTCTTCTTCTTCTCTCTTCTTTATTCTTTTTTCTTTCTCTCTTTGTTCTAACCGTTTTCATTGTTCACCCAAGAACTCCATTTCTCAATCTTTATTTGTTGAAAGGTATCGTTTGTGATCACAACAATATTGATCAAGAGCAAAACAGAATCTAGAAAACTATTTGGTCTCTGAATTGCACATAACTTATCAGAGCGTTTATTTGGTCAGTCAAGCATGAGAGCCTCCTGAAAAATCTTCGTGTTAGAAAGATACAAATCAGGGGCCCTTTTTTATGGAATGCTCAATTGAGATCGAAAGTCTACTTCATGCATTGTGAGATTATGTTGTTGCGAAAACAATTTGGCTCTCTCTAGTTAGAGAAGCATGCTAGAATTTATTTTTTGATGGAGGTTTAAGGATTGAATTCAATTAAGCTTACACAACAATCTTGGCCAAGGGAAGATGGAGGAATGGAAAGTGTTGTCAGTTTCTACTTCACAAGTCTAAAGCTCCAAAATAATGTCAACATTAGCAGCAAGGTTCTTACTCATGTCAAATGAGAAACTTTAGATGAGGGTAGGATTGTAACCAATGCCGATGAAATATCAAAAGAGTAATAATTGTGCTGGTTATGGGAGTTTGAGTCGAGACACAAGAGGTAGATGAATCAGAGACTTTTCCAAAAACATTAGAAGGTGCAATAGTCATAACATTGAGTTGTGTAGGGTTTTAAAAGGCTTTTACTTTGCCTTGGATAAGGATTATAAAAAGATTGAGCTTCATACCGACAACAAAACAATTACAGAGACTATTAACAGAAGAACTTTGTGTATAAGAGAAGGTAGCGACATTTTAAAGTTGATAAAAATCAAATTGAATGAAAATTGAGATATGTGAATCAAACATATTCATAAAAAAGTTAATTGATGTGTAAACACTTGACGGACATAAGTCTTCAGCATAGTATTGGTTTAATAATTTACCACATGTATACATAAGATATAAGATATAGTTGAATTACTTAGCAAATGATGTAGGAGAGATTTTTGTTCCATATGATTACTTTTTAGTTTATCTTCCTGAATTTCCGGCCTTCCCATTCCAAATTTTTTTTAAAGAAAACTAACTTCATCGTTTATGCCATTCAATTTGTCTCGAGATTCCCCCATTTATTTTACTTTGAGTTTAAAGCACTTTCAATTAGTCGGATATACATATATTGCATAATATATTTTGACGTGTCTGCTTCATATTTACAAAACATATATTAAACCAAATCATAAAGAATAATATAATATTTATTTTGAATGCACTCACTTTCAATCAACTAATTAATTGTATATGGCTGTCACGTGATTATCAGCTACATAATAAAAATTAAGATCATAAAGCTTACAATATGTAAAGAATCAAAATGTCCTAGTTGGATCATTAAAATTTAGCCCCAAAGCACAAATTAAGAATTTCACTTTTGACAACGACAACAACATTTGTAAACATAGAACAATATTAAAATTAAAATAACAATCAAACATAAGTGGGTGGAGAATATATTCTGGATAATACTTGCAGACTTTGCTTCACTAATTCACTAACCTTTTTATCTCAAATCATACTTTTCACACGCAAATTGACGTGTACCATTCATTTATAAATTTATGGAATTGCTTTAAAACCAAAAACAAGTTTCAACTAAGCAATCACAAAGTAATACTCAACATGAACCTCAGAGTTTTCTTCGTGTGTTTCTTTGTTTTTATTATCTTTAGCTACGGTTTCTCAATGGCTCAAATGGTTCCTGCTGTTTATGTTTTTGGAGATTCACTTGTAGATGTTGGAAACAACAATTACTTGCCTCTTTCTATTGCTAAGGCTAATCATCGTCACTATGGTGTTGATTTTCTTAATCAAAAACCAACTGGGAGATTTAGCAACGGCAAAAATGCTGCTGATTTTATCGGTGAAGTAATTTAAAATTTGTTGATTATTACGTAGTATAGGATAACTTTGATGATCACAATTGAAAAATATTAATTTGTTGGATTGTAGGTGAGAAATTGGGTTTGGCAACTTCACCACCTTACCTCTCATTGATATCAAAAGCCAACAAAAATGAGAATAATGTATCATTTATGAATGGTGTTAGTTTTGCTTCCGCAGGTGCTGGAATATTCGACGGTACAGATCAACGTTATGTAAGTCACCAATATGTGGGCCAATAAAAATTAGAAAAACAAAATTTTAACAATTGCGGTGAGCGTGGATCGAACACGCGACCTTCAGATCTTCAGTCTGACGCTCTCCCAACTGAGCTATCCCCGCTTGATGGTGCTATGACGTTCTAAATGTTTTTATTTGCAGAGACAGTCGTTACCTTTAGGAAAACAAGTGGAGCATTACTCAAATGTGTATGAGGAACTGACAAGACAAGTGGGAGCAAGTGCTTTACAGAAGCATCTATCAAAATCAATTTTTGTTGTGGTGATTGGAAGCAATGATATCTTTGGATACTTTGAGTCATCAGAACTTCGTAAGAAAAACACTCCACAACAGTATGTTGATTCCATGGTTTTCTCACTAAAACTGCAACTGCAGGTAACACAAGATATAACTGCGCAATTATATTATATACTATATGCTTAGAGGATAGTAGTAGATACTCTTATTAATGTTTTTTTTTGGCAGCGATTATATGATAATGGTGGGCATAAGTTTGAGATTGCGGGAGTTGGGGTGGTTGGATGCTGCCCTGCGTTCAGACTGAAGAACCAAACGGAATGTGTTGTTGAAACTAATTACTGGTCAGTTGAATATAACAAAGGTCTTCAATCCATGTTGAAAGAATGGCAATCAAAGAATGAAGGCATAATCTACTCCTACTTCGACACTTATGCCGCAATGAGTGACCTCATACAGAATCCAACTGTCCATGGTATTACTATTGTTTATTCTCAAATATCTCTTTGTGAGATTTCTGTTTTTTTTCCTTCATGTTATTAGCCTTAAACATCACTAATTCACCATGACATGAGTCATAACGTTGTAAATGATCGCACTAGTTTCATATAACAACATTTTGTTGTGACATTTGATACTAAAAGGAACTTATGCACCCATTTCAGGATTTACAGATGTGAAAGCAGCTTGTTGTGGACTTGGAGAGTTGAATGCCAGGGCTCCTTGCCTGCCGGTGTCAAAACTTTGTCCCACTAGACAAGACCACGTTTTCTGGGATCAATACCATCCTACAGAGGCAGCTTCGCAGATCTTTGTTGACAGAATTTTTGATGGTCCTTCAACTTACACTTCTCCTATTAATATGAGACAGCTAGTAGCAGCTTGAAGTTTGCAATTAACTTTCCATTTCAAATGACTTCTTTTTTTGTGCGTCATCAAACAAAAATTTGTAGACAGCAACCAGGGGTATTAGTTTAATGAATAGCAGTAAAGAGGATGGTCTTTAAGAAATGTGTCGTGCAAGTTTAATCAATGCAAGAACAAAATTGTAATACATGGAGGCCATTGATTCCATCATTAGTTTAATCATATCAATCATGGATATACATGTAGACTATTAATATCTGCAATCATCGGATAGTTATAGATTCCTTGTTGAAAACTACAACCCAAGGACTTAGTCATGATGCATTAGGAACTGGAGAATATCTCCTCAAAAAATAGGTTTAAGTCGCCTCTGTCAATGTCGAATTTCAGCAATTTATCCATGGCATCCTGCATGAAATATATGTAATTGATATCCGAAAATAATATCATTAATTTGACTTAAGAAACTGATATGATACCTTGTACTCATCATCTTTAGCAGAGATGTTCTGATTGCATAACCTCTCAACACAATTGTTTTTTGAAACAGCGTCCAATACAACTGCTGCTCTTTTAATAATTTCGTCTGGCACACCTGCACAAATGATGCACAACTTGATCTATCAAAATTTAGTAGTGGAAAAAGCAGACTAAACGTTATTCATTGCATTAATAAAAAAAGCTAAATATACTACTAACACATCAGCACACCCTTTCTGTTATTGTTTTAAATTTACAACTGATACCCTGTTTGTGTTACTAGATAATACCAACCCCTCTAGAATCAGTTTAAGCAGAAGCATTGTCTAAGTTGCTTAGTGAAAATGCGTCCCATAACTTGTGGTTTTTCGTTTGGTGCCTGGTAGATCTTAAACAAACAGGTTTTAAGTACCAATCCCTCTATTTCTTGGTTATTTGGGCTTTAATTCTTCTAATTTCTAGTAACTAAAAGTAAAATGTCCTTATTTTCCATCACGGATTGATCCCTCTAATTTAAGGTATGGTATTATATGACATGAATTTATCGACCTATTACTAGGGTGGCACTGTAAGGTTTAGAGTGCCAACAAAGCGAGACATAGGACAACTAGTGTTTCTGACATTCATAGTCTCTTGTACATACAATAGGATATGGCATTTCAAATTCTTTTAACTTTTCTTGTGATTTTTGATATATATAATGGTAAATATGTAGGAAAATTCTTAGATGGAAACAACCATAAGAAATAGTTTTATATCATAATTTTCTTATTAATTAAAAAATAAAAATAATTTTTTCTCTCTCCTTCACCCATAAATCCAATTAAAAAACAAATTAAATTTTAAAGAAATTTAAATTTTTCTCTCTTCTTATTGGATGTTTCTAAGAATATGGATTTATGTACATTTTCATATAAGTATTTCTCGGTTTATATAACTTTTTTGATAAAATAATATCTTGTATAGCACTGACACGTGTCAGTGTCGGACACTCACATGACACATGTGAATACATTCAATTTCTTTATTTTTTCAAATTATTACCGGTGTCAACATGTCAGTGTTGTGTTCAGTGTTCGTGTGGGTGCTTCATAGATAATATTATTTTTAAACAGTAATTTTGTGAATTACCTGCAAGCAGTGCACAGTGCAGCCCTGCAGTATTCCCAAAACAATACATGTTATTTCCATCCATATTTCAATTGATATATAATACTAGTAAAGCAAAAGCATACCATAGCTATGATGCACATGCCCAGGGATAAGCCTGCAGCAATATGAAAATAAGTTAATAACAAAGCTGAAATCTCCTCAGATGCAGAACCATTTAAATTCCATACTAATTTCAATAAACTCTAGAAAGCACGAGGATGTCATCAATGAATGAATACAATCACTCATCCACAGATTATTATATATTAGGCTATTAGCTATCATTATGGGCAAATGTAGAAACAATTGTATGCTCAAATATATAAATTTTGGCTTTCAGTTTTCCATCACAAGATGCATTCGTCAAAAGGTTTGCATTTTATTAGGTTATGCAGGTCGTGGTGGGTGTATGATTAATTGATCAATTAAAGTACAATAGGACAACAACCTTCTATCAAATTCACTGGCATCAGATTCAGATGTCCTTATGAAATAAATATAATTCCTATCATACCTCGTAGCAGAATCAACTAAGAGATACCTATATAAAAAAATGATGTCTTCCATCCGAGTTAAATTGACTTCGGGCCTCAGTATACTCATTGTGTAGAACTTAATCTGCTCAGACTGAAATAGTCCAAGGAAGCCATATTAATTATCATGTATCACTCAATTGAGAGTTTTAAAACATCCAACTCCACCAATAATGAATAAGTAACAGACCTTGGTTAAAGAACACCCATGCAATAAATCCATCAGATGGGTGCATATGAAAACCTACAAGATTCATACAACAAATGTCAATTACGGTCTCTCACGAGGAAGTGCTTAGTCTACAAAAAGTGAAACAAATGAATGTAACTACATATATTCATTTATCAGTTTCCATGATATACAAATTTTATGAATAACACAATTAGCTAAAATTGAATTTTAAAAAATAAAATATATAAGAAAAATTTATACACAAACTCTGATTAATGAATATATGTAAAATAAAACATATATCCCCCTTTAAGATGAATGAATCTGTATATAAGCATGCAAATTAAATTGAAAGATGGCTTCCACTAAAGAGGCGAGGGAAGGCTATAAAAAAGTATTGAGGAACTGGCCAAGCGTGGCCCATCACCAAAATAGCATAATTAAAAATTACATCAATTTTCAAATTTGAAAGAAAAGCTAACAGCCATTTCAGGAGTTTTAAGTGTTAAACCTTTGGAGGCTCATCACATGTGATAAAGTGATTTATGGCCCCAGCAAGTAGACCAGTGCCGTCTGAAAGGAGATTGAAACGTGTATGCTAAAAATCAGTCTCTTCAATAAAGACGTCTAATACACATGTTAATGATTAGACATTTCATAAAAAATGAGGAAACAGACCTTCTGTAAGAGTACCTTTACCGAATTCATCCACCAGACACAGAGATCGTGAAGTAGCATGCCTGCAGGCAGGTTTTCACCGCAAAAACCATAATCAAATCTTTTACTACCACTACATTTAATGTATAAATTTCTGTTATATTCTAAGTTCCCCTATGACCTATAAATCTCTTCATGATTTGACTTTTTTGTTTGCCATGCCATCAAGTTTTCACCGCAATAACAACAATCAAATCTTTTACCATCACCACATTTCTATCATGCAATAACTTGACATGTAACCTCTAACTGTTTTGACTTATAATTTTTTGTTTCTCTCTGTCTCTGACTATTGGACTATCCTCCAAATCATATAAGGCACTATATCTTTTTTATTTATAGTGAAACCCTTACTAACTTTATTATACGAGTAGTTGTTTTCCTGACCCAATATTGTACAGTTATAAAAGAGTAATGTGGAAGAAAGGGTCATCCCCCACAGTTCAAATATTAGGTGAATATACAGATTTAGCCCATGATTGATTTTAGTTCTACATATTAGAGCCATTCTTATCGGCCTTTTTCCGGCATACCTCAGCATCATCCCAATTTGATGTAGATCAATCATAAACGTAGATTGCTCTGCTGTCATAAGCCTGCTTCCCATCGCACAAAATATTCTGCACTTTTGGTCCCCCAAAAAAAACTGTTAACATTTAGATTGTAATAACTTCTTTTTATAAGATTAAGATTGTAATTACTGGACATACAAAGGTTAACACATGTCTCATAAAATATATGGGATACAAGTCATACCTATCTGTCAGCCCAACAGTTGCTGCATCAGCTGGCACAAAACTACCGATGTGGGACAGGAAAACAATTACAGCCACCTGGAAAACACTTGAATGCTCATTATCTAAGCACCATAAAGACATCAAGTAAATAATGTCATTTTATGTTTGTAAATAAAACAAAAATGTAATTGTCCAAAGAAATTGTTCTCTTTACTTCTGAATCATTCTATATGACATGCAAAAAGCTCCCATGACCAATGGATATGTCCAGCTAATATTCACCAAATGAACCAAAGGACTACATTCAATCAGGATAATAATGTCTCAAAATCATAGGCAAAAATATAAAACACTTGATGATACAACAGAGAGATGTGTGGCCTGCAAAATAGTAGAAAATTATTTCAATTGTATTTATCACTTGTTAAATTATTACATGGGAACCAATAAAGCTTCTGGGGTTTTATCTATCATTGTCTGTAACTTATTTTGGATCTGTAACTTCATTCTGCAATTGAGTTCTGTGTTTCAAGATTCATAAACTCTGTTAACAGTTGTAGCTTTTGGAGTTGTCAGACCAGATGAATTAAAAACAAGATGGCCTGCCTCTTCAACATTATTTCTATTTGAAACAATAAATAAAAAATGCCCTAGAGAATACATACTTTAGGAAGATAAAGGGCTAATAACTGACCGACCTGTTTTATATAGATACTCTTCCCAGAAAAGTTAGGACCAGTAATGATATTAACTCTTCCTGATAAAGAGTAATTGAACATGGATTAAACAGAAAAACTATACCTTAAAGGGTTTCTTGGACATGATATAGCTAATATCAGTTATATAGATCTACATCTATTTACCTTCATGAAAAAACTTAGTATCGTTAGGAATAAACGTGTCTACAGTCATTTCCTGTAAAACGTGCCTACAAAACAAACAAGACCAATTTTTATCATTAATCATTTCAACAGTTACACCTTATAAAAATACTTTTTATGAACCAGATGGTTCGAACCTTCCATTTTTTATATCGAGCAAGTTCTCTTCAGTCAATAAAGGTCTGACATAATTGTTCTGTCGAGCAACCAAGGCCATTGACAAAAAGCTGAAAATCAAATAATCAATATGAAATGTTTGGGCAAGTGCATTTTATTATAATGAAAAAACTTGATCTTACCAGTCCAGTTCAGCAGCAAAGGTTGAAACCTTTATCAAATGGGTTGAGAACGATATTACATGTGAAAACAAGTCTCGGGTTATCGCCCGCTCCATATCTTAAATGACAGAATTCAGAAATAATTAAGATTTGCACCATAGACCAAATATTTCAACTCTAAAAGCAAGATCAACATTCTCTTTAATGTATCTTACGTATAAATCTGTTTTTAATGAATGAGTTTCATCAGGCATATCTATTGACCATCTACTAAACATAATTTAAACACATACTTGAATTGAATTCACCCACTTTAAAAATTATTGCGAAAGTTGACCAAATTTGGTTATTCAAAAATCATTTATCTAATTAAAGGCTCTGAAGTTCCATTAAGCAGCCTGCATAAATCTAATACTTCAAAGTGGACCAATTGCAATTCTCAATTTTCTGTTAAAAAATGTAGAGGTTGTTGGTAAGAAGTAGCTTTTAGGATAACTTTCTAAAGCTGCAGCATGAACGAAGGGAAGCGCCTTGTTTTTTGAATTTCCCTCAAGAGATCCGTCAAGAAACAAAAACACATCAGGGAGATATCAAATAGATAAGTAAACACCTTGAATTTTATGATAGATATCTCCCAGAAGATTGTCCAACTCTTGTGTCTTTGGCGTGCGATAAAAGTATTTTTTTGTCTCTTCATCTTCATCACAAAACTATATTTGAAATGATTACCATCAAAATAGAATATATTGTTAGAATAAATACTTGAACAAATTGAAAACACCAACATACAATGTATTCCCATTCTATAAGTTTCTCCATAGTAGCTTCTTCCAGTTTTTCTTCAAAGATGCACATTAAATATCCTACAGCAAACAAAAACAATATGCAATGATAAAAACAATATGCAATTGAATTGGGAGTGGTGCATGTAGTATTAATTAGATGATACAATTGGAAAAATATAATTAATAACACCTTAAAATTTGAAAGTGTCAATCATTTTGGGACTTTTTTTTAAAACTAAGTCGACTATTATGGGACGGAGGGAGTATTATATTTCTTCACAAGCATATATAACAACAAAAGGACTGATTTTACTTTTAATCCTGATACTGTGACCGGTAAACTAAGAATCCAGACACTCAATTGAGCTAATTGTTTTACTTAACTAATAGAGTAGACTGTAGCTAGCCTTAGATGTAGCAAACCAAGTAAAGCATTAGCTTTCTAACTAAATGCTGAGTCAGCACAGTTAGATAGTGATATAAATATCTGTCCCTAGTTAAAATTGTAACTAACAATTCACTTGTAAACAAACTCAAACTGAAATTCAATATGAAATCATTCTCCCTCTATATTTTCTTTATCTTCTCTGGTTTCTATTATTAACCATGGCTGGTTCTAGTGGGGTTTGAACACTAAATTTGAAAGTTAAAACATAATGACACCGATTACGATTCAGGCCAAGGGCTTTAGACTCCAACTCTTATTTAGCTTCAGTTTGAACATGCTTGGGCAGTTAGCACAATAGTCCAAAAAATATCAGTACAAGGAAAACATGTGAGAATATAAAAGTCACCTAAGAAATAGTGCAATCAAAATAAGAATAACATATGCTTATTAGCAAATATAATTCAGCAAGAGCAGTGAAACCACTCATTACAAATATTTGGATACAAAAATTTTTCAGAGACAGAACTACCTATTTGCGCTATATAAGCAATACAGGGAACAAACTTGTCTTTGCATAGATCGGGGAGTTGTGCAAGCTCCAATGATGAAACCTGAAAAAAAAAATGTATCAAGATGAATACACACACGGCATATTTGTTTTACTGAATTAGAATTTAGAATTTTCATCAAAGGCCACCTCTTCTAGGAATTCTGGCAGTTCCTCATATATTTGCCTTAGCTCATCCAACTAAGAATAACCAATTTATCAAAAGTACAAAAATAAAATATCAGCCACAGTAAAAACAAGGTTTACTTTGTGAAAAGTTTATGTAGTAAATTAAACTTCAACAACTAGTGACTAATTCATCTGTTGAACAACTAGACAAATGCTTGGCAGCGCAATTTGAATAATACATGATTTTTCAACTGGAAATGCATAAGCATTTACTTCTTACCTAAATTCATTATAAAGATATACTAAGGTGAAGAAAAGAATGAGGAACCGGGATATAACCTCATCACAGAAGCCTTCTTTCACCACTGTCATATATCCCTTCTCTTTAGTTCTATTTACATCAATAACCCCAATTATCTGTAAAAGATAATCAGTTATAACAAGGAATCCAATTGAAGGGTAACCAACAACTGTCATTCATACCCAAAAATATATCAAATAAGCTTCTACTCTCTAGATTGCGTTGACATTTAGGATGCTTTTTTTTAAATAAAAATAAATCAAATGCTTTTAATCATCAAATCAACATTATACAATTTAGTTTTTGCACCTCATTCTGATGAGCAAATAAAACATACCAGCTCATAGACATAAGCAAGCTCCGTTGTTATGCATGAACTTGCCTGCAGTAGTATTGTACATTAAAATAATCATTTAAGCTAGAACCTATACTTGCACTCTTGAAGAGAATGGATGCGTACCCTCTCAGCAATATCCAAATTCAAGTACTTCAATTCTTCTTGAAGACCTTCGGAAATTCCAACTTCAAATATCTTGTTTACATGCAATAGTGCACTGATACTCTTCATAGATTAAAGAAAAGAATATAAAAATAATGCTGTGGCACCAAAATGTGATATTCACTGGCAAATTCCTGTGACTCTTTAGCAGTTTGAACTGCACAGGAGAATGTATAATGATTATCCCAAGAGTGAGGAATCCTTTCATACGAACGTAACGTGTGTCAAAATGGGTTAGTTAATTAAGCAGTGCCCAATATGAAAAGGTAACCTGATATCTTTGGTTTTCTTTTAATGAATTATTGCTACGTACAAGAACAGCAACGCCCAATATTCTCACATCATGACAAAAATAATGGATAGTCCAGGAAAACTATGAAAAAGATATTCCATCCACATATTTTATTTTACAAAAAATGACATTTAACTTAAACAATTCACATATTTATATGATTGTGTATAAATCACAATCAAACCATAGATAATGGAGCAAACCTAATGAAGTGGAAATAGAAGCCAGGTAGTTTAATACACTATTTATTTTATAATTGATGGATCATACACCAAATAAACCATCAGAATATTCTTATCATTTTAATGAATCAACATCTTCCCCACGTCTCACTGGTTATTCCTAAGCTCAAACTTACCTCATGTTTGCAAGACTATGGTGTCATGTCCTTTTTCCAACAGCAAGACTTTGTTATTTGTCAATCATTACTTACGAGCTAAGACAGATAGGAAACTAGGAACAACATGAGAGGGAGGATAACCACAAACTTTTTGTTCCAAGCAACCAGTTACAAGATACAAACAAAGGTTCCTACAAGTTTATGGCTTTCTATTTAGGGAATTGGGGTCACTTAAGTATTAACTCAAGGAACCTTTTACATGTAGAAGCAAGCATGAATTCAAACAGCACAAAGAAACAAAACAATAACTGGAAGTCAAATAAAGGCCCTAAAGACAAAATTACCTTCAGAAGTGCTGCCCAATCAGTGCTAGTGCATATGGAGCTTGGAGAGTCAAATTTCTTGATCAATTGAAAATTAAATATTTGAACGTATAAGTTTACAGAGAAATAAATTTATGCTAAACAGAGAAACATCATATTCTTAATTATACTAAATCAGACCAGCCTATCTTCATATACAAAACTCTATGCTCATAGCATAAAACACATTGATCAATGCAGCATGTAATAGTTAAACATAAATTTCAACAAGATATTATTGATATTGCTCAATATATGTGAAAACTGTTTTTTTTAAATCCGATAATTACCTAAAAATTAAGAGCATGCATCATACATTTTTCAATAATCAGTTGGCCCCATAAATAACATGATATATAAAAGAGAGCTTACTAGAAAGACAACAACATATTTGACGAATTTGGGGGGAACAGGAGAGAATTTTCATACCTTCAGCAAGTGGGGAATGTCCTTCACAGATTTCAGGGTTTCACGTAAAGAAGTAACGAGTTCTTCTGAGCATCGAAAGAAAGATATCTCTTTTTCATTAAAGAAAATCAGTTATTTTTTACTAAATAGCTAGTTTGCCAAAAAAATGTACAATAAAGTAAATGCTTCTTCCAATCTGAAACTTTTAATTCTGCAGATTTTATAAAGAAAAATAGGCCATATGTGATATACTATAAAAGGATACAGAATTTAATCGGTAGTTTAGAACTTCAAGATCAAGTATGGGCCTCAAGAACCACTGTCTGGAATGGGAGTGAGACAAAAACATTACTATAAGTTTTGATATTTAAGATGTATACGTATTTAGTCTTACAAGTTTAAAAGTTGTTATTTATCACCTCAAAAGACGCCTACCCATTGAAGTGACACACTGCATTCAGAACAAAAATTTATTCACGTTTTGCACGAAATTGACATTCACCAAATTGAATTAAATGGGTAAGAGCCCCGCATTAAATGAAATAAGACCTAAATAATTGTTTATAAGGCGCTCCTTGCCTTACAAACCGGTTTTGTAAGAATGAGTTAAACTCTATAAAAACCTAAGATAAACAACTCCAACATACCTTATTCATCATTCCAAATACAGAAAACCTGCAATTAAGACATATTACCTCAGTTAGTTACTGATTTCTAATATATAATATACAAGATTGAGTCAGAAACTACCCTTCTTTTGCTCTACCAATTCCCATGTGGCTTGGGTGCTTGTCTATCTGGAATATTTGTAATGCTTCATGAGCTGCTGCATCAAGTTTGATAAAGTTATTTCTGTATCTCCAATTTAAAGAAAGACACGGGTTGAAGTCAACGTTATCTCCTTAAATATGGATTGCATTTAAGGGCCAAGTAAAATAAATGTAAGGATACAGTGAAATTTCTGCTAAAGAATCTATTGTAATTGACGTATTTCCAGATTCTTTTTGCTCAAGTGTGTCAACGATCCTTTCATTCTCTAATATTGCAAGAAGGCCACCACTAGCACGAACTTGTACTTCACTTCCCATGTCCATCATGGAGCTCAACTGCAATTGTAACAGGGAATAAAGGTCGGAAATACATTTAAATCTGTATTGCACTGACATACGGAAAGACCAGAACAACGATTCACATGCCAGATTTAATACAAGTAAAAAAAGGTTGGAAGAACAAATATTGCCATCATTAATCCAAGCACGTGCATTTATAAGTAACGATCTTAAGATGCTTGGAAGATCCACTAATGTGATAGAGACAGATGATAAATTGCAGTAGTATTTTTGGACTCACAAAGTAAATCCTTTCCTTGACGTCTAATCCATCATCCATTCCCGCCACCCGAAGGTAAATTAATCTGTAAAAGCACGAGAGGAAGGAGAAAGAAGAAGAAGCAAATAAATGCTGAAATTTCAGCACACCATTTTTGTTTTTCTTTCATTGGAATGATTAGATTGACAATTCACCAAATAAAATGTCATAGAATAGCCTAATTTCAAATCACAGATAAAAATTATGCCTGTTAATTAGAAGTGCAAAAGAAAACACATTGTAAAGACTTTTGCTTTACCCTCACTAAAGCTGAAAATCGAAAAACACGGCTTTTCTAGATTAAAAAAGAAAGAGAGGAAGATAATGCTGCCAAATGTGGGCTGAAAAGACGAGCCAAAAACCATAATTTCAGATGGAAGGTATGTTCCTAAACCAAAGTTGCTTTTGCAAGTGGAAGAGTCTTTCTGCATGATAAGTTTCAATATTCATATTTTAAATTTTATATAAATTAGACAAATCACCATGCCACATAAAGAACTGAAAGATATATACAAAACAATGTTTATCAAGACTCGAGAATTCAAAATATCATTAACAAGTACACTGCAAACACTTGAATAAAAAATTATCTTCAAGATCTTAGCTGCTTCAATACCTGTGCCATGCTTGCTCATAGCTGAATATTGAACTTTTGACAAGCTTTACTGTAGGAGCCTCAGCTACTTCATCTGCATAACTTCAATTGGTAAAATGATCCAAGAGCTAAACTTTTGTAACACAACCACATGATGTGCCCCATACCACTTTGTTGTAGAGTAGCCAAGAAAGATTCATCACATTTAGTGCTTGTGTATATGACCAGAGGGTTTGCTTGATATTTCACTGCACTAGTCATTGAAGCCAAAAGACATTCATACATTACAACACATAACTAATAAAAGCACTTAACTGCAAGTTGTCGTTAGGGGCATATGAAACACAATAATGAAATTAGTGTGAAATGACAACACCTAAATGCTCATAGGTTTAAGTTTCAATATGATGGAATATAGAACCAAGAGGAAACATTGAAACTAGAATTGAAATCAAATCCAACAATAATAGGGGGGTGGGGGGAGGGAACATACCGAGATCAATAACTGAAAAACCATTGTCCCCGTCATCCCAAGCTTCAAGCACATTAAGTTGTCGAATGCTGGAATCATAATAAGAAACTCCTATTCTGTAAAGAGGATTTGACAACTCAACAAACAAAGCACACACTGCATATACCTTTTATAGTTATCTAACCACTTTTTACCCATCACTCCGCACATTATAATTTATATATTACTTTTAATTATCAATGTTTCTGAAACAGTGGGCCACTCAATTCAACTACCTTCCTGCAACTCACACAATTTCACTTCCAATACATAGAAATTATCATTTGGCTTTTGCATCAAACAAATTTATTCTAGATTGTTTGACAATTTCTAGCAACAGATATTTAAGTAAATAAAAGAAGCTTACCTATGACCATTTTGTATGCAGGCCATGTAAACCTACATAAATAAATAAATCAATTAAGAATTGAGATTGCAGTCAGTCAAATCTATCAAGTTAAGGTATCAGTCAGATCAATATTCAACAAACAAAAATTAAAGCCCTTTCCAGCTTATTTTTTTACTCACTAGTATAGTCTCTATTTGATTATAGTTATCTGTTATATACCTTAGGACATTGTTATCATAAAGTTTGCTGATCAGACATGCATTTAATTTGTTATATTTTCATATGGTAACATCAAAAATGAAATATATAAAAAAACTTATTAAAAACTCTGTTTACATTTTAGTACATAACTTTATTCAACACAAAGCCGGTGAGAATACTCATGAGCTTAAGTGAGTGTGTTTGGTTCTATCGTGAAAAAAATTGATTTTGAGTGAATTGATTTCGGAAAGTTTATCTAGACTAAACGTGAGTTGAAGATAAAGTATTTTATGTTTAGATAAATCCTTGTAAAAGTGGCTTAAACGGTAAATTTAAGTATAAAAATCGTGTTTAGACTCAAACTACAAATTTTAATTTCAAGTAAAATCAATTCTAGAAAGCAGAATCAATTCTACTTGGTAGGAATCAAACATGTCAAAATCAATTCTACACATCCAAAATCAATTCTAACTAAGTGATCCTACAGTGAAACCATAGATACAATGAATAAGCCGTGTAATCAAATATCAAAGTGCTGATTATTTGAAGATATAAACCTAACGAATAAGCATAACCAGCAATAGTATCATCTAACACTGTCGATTCTAGTTTCAATTTCAGTTCATCAATTTAAACGAACAAGGAGTATTATCTACAAATGAACCGTTCATTTTTCCAGTTTCTGTACAAAAATGCAATAAACTCGTTAACCGCAGCAAGCAATGGCGCGAAATTCAGTTTTAACCTCGTTGATCTAAAAGGAGTTAATTAGTTTGTAGATTTTTTTTTCTCTTGTTCTGTGCGGTGAGAGAGGAAAGTTTTGAAGAAAAAGTTGCGTAAGGGATGGACCTGAGGAACGTCGTCGATCTCATCCATGTCCTCCTCCATTTTCGGCGATATTGTTTCTGAGCTAGCAAGTAAAATGCGAACTGAAAAACTGAATCTGATGAAGTAACGGGAATTTGAGCGGGGAAATTTCAAAAATGGAGGGTCTCTGGTTTATATTTGGGTGAAAACATGAAAGCGGTGGAAATTTTGTATTCGGACGCGTAACCACTGTGATACGGTGTCGTTCGGAGCTTTTGTAGATATTTTAATTTAATATTGTAGCATGGTATCGATCTAGTTTTCCGATTTGTACAATACAAAAAAAAAAGTTTAAATTTTTAGGTATTTATAATAAATAGTTTGATATCGGTGACTTTACTTACCGTAAATTGATTTAAACTATTAATTTATTTTTAAATAAAAAATAATATGATATTGAATGTGAATATTTTATTGAATGATGATATCGATACCCAACTGAATTTAAGAATATTAAAGTGTTCATAAAAAAATATATATAAAAGTTGCAAAATATATTATCGTCTTATAGGTGAGTTCTACGACTACTTTTTAAATTAGGATTTCGTCCTTAGATTATGGAGAAAAAAAATTAAAAGACACAAAATAAAAGATAATTCTAAATATTTTTATCCAAGCATTACACTATAAATATTAGATTAAGCTTAAAAGATCTAAACAAGAATGGGCTTAAGCCACTTGGAGAAAATAATTTTATCCCATACTTCTTCATTTATACTCATATTTCTATACTAACAAATTTTGGACCAAAATACTCTTGTATAAATAGTTATAATTTTAAAAATTTTACATTTTCATTTCATTTGTACTTTAACACTTCTGGAACACTTTTTTTCACATACAAACTGGAACTCTTCGCCAAAGTCATCTGACACTACATTTTTCACCTACATATACCAGAACTCTAATAATAAGTCTTCTGGTTTGTTGTGTTTTTTCGTTTGTTCACCGGAAGACTTTAAGTATGTCTTCCAGTTCATATTTTTATTCGTTTGTTCACCGGAAGTCTTTTTGCAAGTCTTCTGATACATGATTTTTTACGTTTGTTCACCGGAAGTCTTTTTACGAGTCTTTCAGTTCATGTTTTTTTTTAATTTTTAATTTTTTTTTTTTTGCAGTGGTGCGCACACGAGACAGAGACGGTAGGATCTCTTCTCGCAGACTAGGACGGGGCGAATCATCGAGAATGACTGAAGAAGAGCATTTTGATGCATCTGCATCAGCATCCGAGCATGTTGGATATCCAGGAGGATCGTACGATACCTCTCTTTTAGTTAAGTACGAACATCATATTGCTAGACGTATATGGATCGGTGAGGTAAGTAAACGAAAAATATTTATATTGAATAAAATTCGAATTTTTAATGTTGAATTTTATAATATATTTACTTTTAATCTTCCATCCAGATACATCAGTCGCTAGAGTTGATCTGATTCTAAATGGACATCCACATTTTTTCGCCGCACTCTGGTTTCCACTATCAATATCTTTGTGTTTTTCATCTTTATCACATCCAAATATTAATTTGTTACTTCTTTCTCTCTTGTCTGTTTCAATATCTGAACGAGTGATGATAACCGTTACTTTATTTCGAATTTTGATCTCTTTAATCCATCTTATCACCTCTTCTCGTGTACCAAATCTTTGAGTAGTTGAAAAAACATCAGACGTATCTACACATGTCTAATCTTTATCACATATTTGTAAAGAAATTTTTGTGCCTGCATAAAAAATATAAAAAATAAATAAATAAATAAATAAGCAGAAGACTTAGGAAAAGAGTTCTGGTAGTCAAAGTTACCAAACCGGAAGAGTTGTAAAAAGTGTTATGGTACACTTTTTACAAGTAAAAAAAATAATTTAATAAAAAACATACAGGGATAAAATTGGTATTTTTTTAAAAATTGTAGGAGTATATATGGGTATAATTGTAGGGGTATGGGGTAAAATTTCCTAAAATAAACTAATGGTCATAAAGCCATTTGGAGGAAATAAAATAAAACTAGCAATAATATTGGAACACGATCTTTCAACCAAAATAATTTTTTTATAATTTCTTTTAGGCATTTTATCACTACTTTATGGCCCAACAGAACCCTTGTCCTCGAGGTAATTGGTCAAAGAAGTCTCATTGATAGAGTCCAGAATAATAGGAGTGGTGTTAGAAGGATAATTTGAAAGGGGAGATGAGGTGGCCGAGTGGATTTGTTGGGAAGTTTGAATTTGGTTAATTGATAGTGAGTGGTGGGTTAGAAGAGAGAGAGAAGTGTATTATGAGGTAACATGGCGAGATCAGGATGGTTGGTTGAGGGTTGGGGCAGATAATGTTATTAAGTGGAAAAGGGGTAGCGAGAAAACTTAAGAGTTTTTTTTACTGTTGTGTCTTAGTGTTGAAAAATATATAACCAAATATCATACTTAAAAAAAAAATTCTAAAATGTTGCACTGCATGCTCGTCTACTCAAGCGACGAGCAGATGACGATTTTTTTGGCATGTGTGTGCTCATCCACTCATGTGGCGAGCATGTGAGCTTTTTTATTTTTCATATTTTTATTTTATATAAATATTTTATTTAATAGTTTTAAACATTAAAAACATACTATATTAATTTCATACTTATATACTAAATAAAAATAATATATTCAAATAATTATATTAATTTAATAATTAAATACTAATTAAAAACATATTATATTAATTAAATGTAATAATAAAATATATGAAGGAATTTATTCAAACAAAAATACATATTACATATTAATTAAAATATATTTTATCAAAAATGGTCTCCAATTCCACACCTAGTGCTTTTTTTGTCGATATCTCATGCCCATACGTTCATTTGCATTTCTTGTAGGTGATTGAGATGAATCAGAAGACATATCTTAATCATGATGTGTTGTAGGGGGTTCGCATGCCTTGAAGGGGGTCCACTTGTGTCGTAGTTGCTTCGCAAGAAGGTCATCAATGTTAAAATCTGACATTTGCATAAGTTGATCCTCCGTCAGCAAAAAATGTTGGAATGAATACGATGGTTGTGGTGGTTGGGTGTAGGTTTCGGGTTGGGTTTGTTGAAGAGTTAGGTAGTAGACATCATCAGGCGTGAAGGTGGAAGTGGGTTGAGAGAATGAAATGTTGAAGGTTTGATGTTGGGATTTGGGATTTGATTGATCAAAGTTTGGCGGAGGAACTGAAGTGAACTATAAGGGTGGTCGAAGGTTGGATTGATGTTGATATTGTTGGTTGTAGTTGTAGTGGTAGTTTTGTTGAGGGAGTGAAATGTAAGGAGTTTGGTGTTATGATGAGGATACATAAAATATGTGTCAATCGGTGGTCTGCGTGTGTTGGTATGTATTATGAGCAGATGAAGATGTGTGTCCTCTAAATTAGGATGTGTACATTGGCGGCACATCCTGATGCATCAGTGAAGTAGTTGGTTGTGTTGATCACGAACCTTGCACACGAGGATCGATCAAAAATTGGTCTAGAGAAAATGAACTTTTTGGACTTTTTTCATCGTCATTGTGTGGTGTTCCCTTAGACACCTTGGCGGGGAAGGGATTTGTTGTTTAAACTCGAACTGGAGTTTTATCCTATTTGTTTGATGCATTTCAACAGTATAGAAACAGATAAGAGAAGTCGTAGCACTTCAGATCTGGCTATCTCTAAGATTGAGCGCGTCGGGAATTAAATGTATGTTCTCCATATAAACTGCCACATATTAAAACAATTATAATACAATTAAGAAGTATATGCAACAAGTAAATTTTATGGTTTCAAACTCACGTCTTTTTCTTGCATGTGATCTAGTGTGTTTCGATACCCTTGTAGATGGAAACGAGGATTAACATTGTAATTCATGCGTCTTTGGGGCAAAAACAAAAAATATATAAATGTTAGGCGTAGATGATTAATACAGATTATAAAGTTCTTTTTTAATTTAATAATACCTTTGAGCGTATGGAAATTATGGTTGCAATGTACTAATAGGAGCAAACAAGGGTATACGCGTGAATGCCTAAGTAGTGAGCAGTAGAACACAATCACTCATGCTCCTGACATCTTTGATTGCAGCCTTGCACATTTCTCTCTACAGTTTTGCAAGACAAGCAGAACCCCAATTAAAGATGTTGCATTTTTCTAGATCCCTTACAAAAGGAATCCAAGAATAATGCAAAAGATTTAGGCTCTTGTCGGGAAACAAAATAGTAGCAATTACAAGTAAAATATAAACTTTAACTTGTAAAATAGTATGCTTTTGGGTTGGGGCAGAGTTATTTTTTAAAACTTCGTATAAATTCTCTAGCCAAGTAATCCTAACAGAACCTCTGTTTTTATCAGTTTTTGTAGGTTCCACCCCTAAGTTCTCCATGTAAACATCATTTGTAACTTCGGTAGGACCGTTGATAGCTTTTCCATAAACTCAGAGACCAAGTAACATATTAACATCTTCTAATGTTATCGTGCATTCACTGGTTGGGAAATGAAACGTGTGTGTTTTTGGTCTCCATTTCTCTAACAGAGCTACAACTAGGCTAGAGTCAATTTTGAGACTATTTATTTTTGAGAAATTAGCAAAACCTGTTATTTCTAAATACGGGATTATTCTCGCACTTGCTTGAATGGTAGCATGAGAATGCACTCGAAACCTTGCATTAGTCTGGACAAAAAAGGAAATAATAGTGAACACAAAAATTATAAAAACTATTGCATAGAATAGTAGAGGAAACCTCACACTAGCTTGAATGTTTGATTGTGTTCCACGGTGTTCATCGCCTACCCACAACAAAGACATTTTGAAGAAATTTTGTGAGAGATGGAGAAATGTTTGCTCTTGTTGCAAGAGTGTTTTGTGAGAGGAGTAAAAATGTTTGAAGAAATATATTTAACATACATGAATTTATAGAAGGATAGTTAGTGAGTAGTAAATAAATGTGACAAGATTACCCACTAGTATAAGTGACATTACACTGCATACTGCATGGCATTGGAACTTGTTAATTTCATGGAATGCATGCA